GAACTCAAAAAATAAATAGCAAAAATAAATAAAGGAAATAAATTAAAAGTAAACTAAATCTGTTGCCTAACTCGTGTCTCCAAGTGGAGTCATTATGCTTGTCGCTATCCGACATTTAAGGGACTTCTAAAAATATGTTATTATTAAAAAATTTTTTGTTTTTTTTATTTACTCGAGATGTGAGTCAAACTATATTTTGGAGTTGTCACCTAGTATTAAAGGAACTAAGAAACCTAAAAATATCATTAGTTCGGAGATTATAAGGTGAAGAGTTGGTTATACATTTGAAAAAAAATTAATCGCCAAAAAAAACCCTTTCTAAGGAAAGGTACCACAACTAGTTTAATTGTAAAAACTTATCTCCTAAATTTTTTTTTATTTTTTCTAAATTATTTTCAAGTCAACTTCCAAGTTTATTATATAAGCCAAATTAATTTTTTTTATTTTTGTTTGTGGCATCATATTGAACCGATCATCGGATCCCGTCCTTAGGAATCCTATCGCTTCAACATTAGATCCAATTTAAGTCTCGACATAACCGATATATCAAAGAATGGCCTAATTACTAAGGTGATTAATTTGATTCAAGTGATAACTTCGGTCCCTATTAGACATGACATTTGTCAATCTCATATTTCCGTTCTTTTTTTTTCTTTTCTTTTTATGTCTTTTTTTTTATCAATTTTCTTTTCATTTTTTTTTATTTTTTATTTTGTAAGGTTAGTGGGGAATTTTTCATTAGTTCCTAAATATTAGGAGACTCGACGAGCCACCCACCTATTAATTACTTAATTTGACTATTGGTTATTCAACCCATATTTAATATTAAAATAAAATCTAAAAATTAAATTAATAGTCCCTACACATTTATAGGAAGTCTAAAATGTAACCATAAATTTTAAATTTAATTAATACTAAATATTAAACTAGATATGAAATTTAATTACCGAAAGAAATTAAAAGCTAAACCTTAAACTAAATAAATTGAAATAAATTGGTAAAAATTGTTCAAAATTCCAAAAAAAAAAAAAAATCTAGACTGGCCATGAAAATAAGAGGTATGTATTAAAATTTTAGACTTAATTTGCCATAGGGAAATAGCTAAAAAAAAAAACAAAAAATGAGAAAAAGTGGGGTTATTAGGCCTTCGGGCTAGTGGGCTTGGCCTGCTTTTTTTCTTTTGAGTAGGCTAAGAATAGATCAGTTTTTCCTCCTCACGAGCTAAGCTAAACCCACCTCACTCTCTTTTCCTTACGCTCTGGGCTAGACCCAGTCCACTCTCTTCTCCTCACTAGCTAGGCTAGACCTAACCCAATCTTCTTTTGTTTTCAAACAAGTTGAGTCCATCACAAAGCCCCTAGTCTCCTCTTCTTCATCTCGAACTAGAACCTAAATCTCTTTTGCTTTTCTCTTCTTCCTCAACCAGTCCTCTTACCTTGCTATGTCAAACACAAAATCAACAGGCTCCCTCTCCTTTTAAACTAAAACGTCTCAAACCCTCAAATCTTTCCCCTTCTTCACCTGACAAACTCAAACTTAATTTAGACTAGCATTAAAATAAGAGGTATGTATTAAAATTTCATACTTAATGTATATATTAAAATTTCATACTTAATTTTCCATAGGAAAAGAGAGAGAGAGAGAGGGGGAGGGAAAAAAAAGGGTTATTGGGCCTTCAGGCCAGTGGGCCTGGTCTACTTTTTTTCTCTTGGGCTGATCTAAGCCCAAATCAGTCTTTCCTCTTCACGAGCTGGGCTAAGCCCAGCCCACTCTCCTCTCCTCACTAGCTGGGCTAGACCCAGCCCAGTCTTTTCTGATTTTCAAACAAGTTGAACCCATCACAAAGCCTCCAGTCTCTTTTTCTTCATCTCAAACTAGAACTTAAATCTCTTTTGCTCTTCTTTTCTTCCTCAACCCATCCTCCTACCCTGCTGTGTCGAACACAAAATCAACTAACTCCCTCTCCTATTAAACTGTATCGTCTAAAACCCTCAGACCTTTCCCCTTCTTCACCTCACAAACTCAAACGAACAAAAGGAATTTGGTTAATTGGAGGCTGTCGTCACTGTCATCGTTCGTTCTTGAACCAATAGACAGCTAAATCAAAGCGATTAAAGTTACATATCAATGAAGGAGGCAGAGCATCTGAGCCGAGTGTTTGATTGATGGAGCTTGGCTTGAGGATGAGTGATTTACAATAGATAGTCCGTGCTTTAATCGGTGAGAATTTACTCTTTCAAGAACCCAGAATCAACCTTGTAATCCTAGTGATCCCTCTTAGAAAGCCCACAATTCATTTGTCAAATAGAATTCCCAAAGTTCCTTTCTTCAAAACCCAACAGGAACCCTAATTTTTCTCCTCAAACCTCTCCCCAAAAATCCCCCCTCAATCCTCTAATTAACCTCTTATTTATACTCAAAAGCTCTCCTCCCATCTATCCTAAGATCGAGTTCACTTAAATCCTAGCCTTCCTCACAAAAAACAATAATCTCAAGCTCCTACCAGTTTTGGCTCTCTTATGAATGGAGCCAAAACACAATGCAAATGTGATTTTTGTGTTGCGTCTGTGTTCAGGTGTTGCATGTGCAAATGTGGGTCTTGGTTAGTACAAATGCTAGCCAAAAGTAATTTTGTCCTTCTAGACTATTATCTTCATTGATGAAGATGAATAGTGCCAGAGGATGGTGAGGTACGGGCCAGGCGTGCCAAGGAGATTGCTAGAAAGGTCTGAAGGACAGATCGTTCGGATTGATTCCAAATTGGTCATGTCGTTTATTTATTTTGTCAATTTTGATCCCTATAGGTTCTAATTTTCCACATTGTATCATTTAGGTATATTATTGTAGTCGAGACCCTTTATTTTTTTCAATTGGATCCCTGTGCCCTTCAATTTTAATTCTAATACGTTTAATTATTTCAATTGTATCCCTATTTATTTTCAATTGCATTTCAATTATTCAATTGTACCCCTAGGACTTTGTGATACATTTTTTTATGACCAAAATAAAAGAATCTTAAAATTAAAATGAAGCTAAATAAAGGATAAAATGAAGAAAAAATAAAAGTAAAAACAATAAAAAATGGGATAAAAATAAAACAAATTATATGACAAATGATGATAATAAATAAAGGATAAATAAGGAAATAAAAAAATAAAAAAACATATATAAAATGAATATAACCCAAAATTTGGGTTATGACAATATTAATTATTTGGATTAACTGTCAATTTAGCCATATAATTTATGGATTGTATTATTGAAGTTTTCATTAAATTATTGATTAGATTTATTAAAATTTAAAATGTAAATCCCATAGGAAAAAATGTTAATTGAAATCCTTTTATTAAATCAAATTTTAGAACCATATAATATTAATATATCAAATTAGACTAAAGATTTTGTATGAATATTGAGGTTTAATATAAATAGGGTATTCGTAACGTACGTTCAATGAATACTTATTTAATTTTTGAAAGTTATTGATAAGGATGATAAAAATAATTTTAGTATATTTTGAGATGAACTATTGCTTTAAAATTATAGGTACTTCCAAACTAAAAAAAAAATTGCAAATAAGGCTTGTAAGCCATAATTTTTATGGTGAAAATTAAGATTTTATTATTATTGTTATTATTGGTCCACATGTAAACAAATTATGCTAATATTAAATCTCTTTTGATTGGTCCATATGTAATTGTTTGCCAAATATTCCTTTTATTTTCCTAAAAAAATTAGAGTAACTTCATTTGGAAACCATAAAGAAAGAAAATAAAGTATACATACTAGGAAACATATATATTGTACATGGATGTCCGTATGAAATAAATTGATTGACATGTATATGATACAGTGATAATGACATTGTAAGATTTTCACGTAACTATTTTTAAAAATATTTTGGACATCATTATTCTTGTCAACTTATCATGTAATGTTATTTGGAAAAAAAAAATAAGAGCTAATATGTTAAAAATAGGAATTAAAATTGTTGTAGAAAACGTTAAAGAGAATGAAGAATAAACAATAAAGTAATTGATAATGTTCAATGACATTATACTATATGAATACTCAAATGACTATCACTTTAAAATTATAAATACTTAGTGTTGTTAAATAATTTGTTGTGTATTATTATTTCACCCATTCGAATAAGAAAAAATAACCTGAATCGCATACCCGACTCCTAGTTGTTTGAAAGGGTACGCTATACAGGCATGACTTTCATTGACATTAGCAAGGGGCCTGCTGACTTTGAAGTGCTGACCAGATACATATACATACGTAGTTTTTGTCTGATTAGGCAGTCCCCGAGAGGCAAACGCTGCAGCCAGCCACTCCGAGGCATTTGCTTTGTTTGGCACATAGACTCAACTTCCGCGTTCATGTTCGAAAGCATTTTTCCTTGTCTGGGTGAGATGATTTTGAAAGTTACTATTTATTATTGATACTATAAAAGACAAATAACTTAGCTGTAATCAATGTAACTAGTATCTGAATTAAAACTAAAGGATCGTGCATGAATTTCTAGTTGGTTTGAGTGGTATAAACAGACAAGGTGAGCCGGTAACGATGTGGTAGCAGAGACACAGTATGCGAAGTTAGAAACAAGGATACTCCATACAAGCAAAAATGACTTGGGGGAATGATTTGATTGGAAATAAAAGCCAGTTTATTTCCTACAAAGTTTTCACGAGCACCATGGCAACACAAGGGAACCCCAAAACCAACTTCTCATAGCTGTAAATGTAAAAGTAAATAAATAGAACGGACAAAATTTAGCTATTTCACATTAGCTTGTTGAGTAGAAAGTTGAGCTAAAGTACACCTGCAAGGCACAGGGCCATACAAATTTATTTGTATTCCAAACTTATTGATCCAAATCTGATCTAACTAATGAATATTACTATAAAAATACACTTGGTCGTCAAAAAAATACAAAAACCCCATGGGGCTTATGTAAGGAATATAGAGGCACTTGCTTTAATGGAAATCTTCATCTATTCAGCTCCCTTGCTGGCTTTGTAGGTGTTTACTAATTGCATTTGCACATCCTGAGAAACAGGTGAATGTTCTTTGTATTCCATTGTGAATTCACCTTTCCCCTGTGTAAATTGAAGAAAGATCAGCAAGCACAGACAAATATTGAGCAAAGAAACACTTCACAGTTCAAAAGGAAAAGAAATTTGAATTTCCCACTCATCATCACCTGCGTCATTGAACGAAGAGCAGTCGAGTAACCAAACATCATGTTCAAAGGCACCTGAAAAGTCAATCGCAGGAAACTCTCAGAATCCATTGGTTTGGGGTCAAAGTATCATCAAATATGTCATGATCATGATATAAGCTTCCACTCATCCTGAACCTTTTTTTTTTTTTTTAAGCCTCAAATATTAAGAAAATAAAAGGAGAAACTTGTACTTACATGGGCTGTTATTATAGAGTCATCCGCATCCTGGTCATTTCCAATAATCACACCTTTCCTCCTATCGTATGGCAAAGGCACAAACAACTTAAGAGTTCCAGAAACAAGCAAAGGGAACAACAATGATAATATACTAAATAGTTAAAAAAAAAAAAAAAAAACTACTCACTTGTTAATGTCACCTGCAACAGTACCCTGAAACTCTGTTGGTACTTTCAGTTCCACCAGCATTACAGGTTCCAGTATCACAGGTTTTGCAGCTGCATAACACTGTTTAATAGAATTTAAAGGAGGGGGGTCAGAACTAGAAGCTTCCGAATATGGGTGCAACCCATTTACAAAGGAATTCACCTCTAAACACAGGATAAGGGAAGTACCTGTCTAAAAGCATATATCGCTGCTAATTTAAATGCAAGTTCGCTAGAATCCACAGCATGGGCAGCACCATCAGTCAAAGCAATTAGAAGATTTTCTACTGGATGCCCAATTAAAGAACCCCTGTACATGCAAGAGCAACCAGTTCACAACTTTATCATCTGAAATCACACATGGTGCAGATCCTTATATTGCAAATGGAACAAAAAAGCAGTATCAACCTAGTTCTCAAAAACAATTCCAATATCATATGCAAAAATAACTGTAGTTATGTAAGTTCTTATTCAAAAGGAAGGAATGACACATTGTCTGACACAGCTGACAGGATAGACTGCCCAACTAAAAAAAGCTTTAAATTTTCTACATCAATTTTAGAGAGACTAAGAGAGAGAGAAACTTCAAAAATACTTCACAGGATAAAACAGGAACTTTCTCAAAAACTACAAAACTACGAACTATCCTTTTTGTTGCCAAAAGCTACTCACGAATTGGCAGCTTCTTTAAAGCCCTTCTCAATTGCAGGAATATAATTTGAAGGTATAACCTGTCCCACGATCATGTTATCAAATTCGAACTTAGTCGTTGACCCTTGTGGAAGCGGCTCAATGTACCTGTCCATCGAAAAATAGAGCAAAGCAATCCCAGGGATCACATTTATAAAGTTGGTACTTTGTTTGAAATTAATCAAATGGTTCTGAAAAATAAAAAGGAAATCCAAATAATTAACACATTTAACAAGGCAATAACAGGAGTTCCTAGGCAGCAGGATGACAATTTCTATACATAACTACTGCATAGATAGATATACTGCTGAAAGGTGAGTGAAGCAGATAATTTTTTTGAGCACAAATAGGCCAAATTAGATACCATTACAATTGGATTTCAACATGGGAAATTAATATCAAGCACTCACCCACATACTCGTCCATATTGTCCTTGTCCTCCACTTTGCTTCTTATGTAAATAATCAAATTCAGCACGCTGAGTAATGGTTTCCCTGAAGTTCACACGAGGTTTCCCAACATTTGCATCAACCTTTTCCAGCCACAGTTGTGGGAGAACATAAATTAATAAAAAGAGGATATTTCCAACAAAACAGCAATAAACTGGAAAAAAAAATCATAAAAGGAGGAGATACCTTGTACTCCCTCCTAATCCGCTCCACATATATGTCCAAATGCAACTCTCCCATTCCAGAAATTATGGTCTACCCACAAAAGTATCATGATGTCACACCAACAAGTTACTATATGATTAAAGAAACAGAGCACATAAACATTTTACCAAAACAAACCTGCCCACTCTCAGGATCCAAGCCAACACGGAAAGTGGGATCCTCTCTCTGAAAACGATTCAAAGCTTTCGAAAACTGGAAAAAATACCAAAAGAAAAATGTATATAAATTGGAGGGCACAATAATTCATACACATTGAAATTTGAAAGAGTATAACTCAAATTTTTTTCTCCTGAGACCCTGATGTCATGGCTATAACTTATAACCTGAGAGCCAAAAAAAATAGAGGGGAAAGGAAATACATTTCCTCAGTACTTACTTGTCCTCCAGAATCTTTTGAAACTGGTTGAATGGCCAATGACATAACTGGCTCAGGGACATTCATAGAGGTCATAGTGTATCTAACTGATCCATCTGTAAAAGTATCTCCTGTTTACCCAATAAAGATGGAAATATTTAACGAAAATGATTTAAAAAAAAAAAAGATGTACAGTATAGGACAAAAGTCTCAGCTCCCATCCCAGCTAATTACAGGATCTCAAAATTTGTCCCATGCCCAAGTAGAAGTAAATCCTTTTTTCCAGCAACAGACACTATACTTGTAGTAACTTCTAACTGCCACGGACATTCTCCTTAAGGAACTATGAAAACCAATATAAAAATAAAACAACTGGTGACTTGGCATGTGAAGGATTGACCTGAAGCACAATCAATGCCGAATACTGCAACTATTTGCCCAGCATGTGCCTCTTGAATGTCCTGTAGCATAAAATTCCCCAAATAAGAGAGTACACTAAGCATATAACAGGAGACATGTAAAAATCTCCATTCATACTGAGATGAGCACAAAAGGATCATTTGGACGGATTACTGAGAGAAATATCAGGGTGCAAAAACTTACCTCCATTTCATTAGAGTGCATCCGAACCAAGCGAGGAATCTGCAATTTCAAAATATTATTAGGACTTAACAAGTAGGGAACAGAAACCAGATCACATTGCATGCCCAAAACTTACCTTGATTTTCTTGCCTGTGTTTACATTAATTATAAAATCACCCTTGCGAATTACACCCTCATAGATTCTTCATAAAAAAAATATAAATAAATAAATAATAATAATAATAAATGTTAACATATCTAATGTCTTGTACTAATCTAACAGATCATATGCATGCAAAACTAGCAAAATCATTAAATGAAAACTAAACAAGTAATAAGCCATACCTTAGATATGTCAACTGACCAAAACGCCCTTCTTCTAATTTAAAAGCCAATGCCACAAGTGGTCCATCTGGAGTTCCAGACAAGACAACCTAAACACCCCTTGATCAGTATCTTGAGGGGGAATTGTGGGAAATAAATTGAGATGAAATTGTTAAGCTGAATACCTTCTCTTCATCTTTGGTTTGGTCAAGAGCATAGTTACTAACTTCAGGGGGACAAGGCAAATAACTAAGTACACCATCTAGAAGTGGCTGTACTCCCTACAGAGAAAAAATTACAAAAGATGAAGATATTATGAACAAACAGCAAAGTAAATAAAGCAAATAATTACTGCAACTTAAACCCAAGACCCAAAGACACAGGAATAGAGAAAATAAAATACCTTGTTCTTGAATGCACTGCCCATGAATACAGGAACAAATTTCTTTGCTACAGTAGCCCTGCGAATTGCCACCTAATCAAGAAGATAAACAAATTCTAAAGTTAAAGATCACACTAAATACATGCAAATACAGAATGAAATTTATTGCAAAGAGCAAGCCAGTCAATTTTTGAGCTCCCTTGACATTTGTTGATGAGACATTTGACAATAATGACAAACAGAAAATTTAAAGTTAAGCCCCGCCAAATGATGTGTCAGGGAAAAGAGGAAAAAATGACTTAGGAGGTTCGATATCTTGTACCTACACTAGATGATGGGTGCATGAAAAACATTGTTCATGAATATTTACTTTTCTGTCAGAAACACATTTTCTATCTCTCGATATACCTCAAGATCGGAGGCTGAAATAGGCTCATCTGCAAGAAAAGCATCTGCAAGATTATCATCAACTTCAGAAACTGTTTCTATTAGTTCGCGCCGTTTTTCTGCAACTAAGGCCTCCATCTCAACTGGTATTTCTGCAGTGACAATTTTTTCACTGAAAGAGGAAATGAATAGTAAACAAAAAGGAATAAAAATCTAAAAAAGAGTTACATGACAATTTTTTCACAGAAAGAGGAAATGAATAGTAAGCAAAAAGGAATAAAAATCTAAAACAGAGTTACATGACAAATTAAAGTAATCCAACATCATATGTTCATGTACTCACCCACTCGAGCCATGGAAATAATAAGCTTTCATCTTTACAAGATCAATAAGGCCTTGAAAATCATCTTCCAACCCAATTGGAACTTGCACTGCTGCACTGTGATGTCTTAGTTTAGACCTTGCCTAAGAAAATGAACCACAATAATCAGCAATGAGAGAGATTAACAAAAAAAAAGGGGAAACCTATCAATATGCCCTTGTATAATACATGTTTTCGTATCCTTGTATAAAAAATCAATTAATCATTACATTTAATTTATCCATATTCTCTTATATGCCCAATTTCTTTCCAACAAAATTAGCTGTCAAATGCATTCCACATCATAGCTTAGTAATGAATTGACTTAGATGCCCTTTCAAGAGTACATAAGAAGAAACAAACAAATGTTCTAACTGAGAAATTCACAGATGGACATATTAGAGAATGTGGATAAACTAAAAGTTAGAATTGATTGATGCTATTAACCCCGTACAGATAGGTGGGATGTATCAAGTCCAGAATGGACTAGACTAACTGCACTGGTACCGAAACATCTGACCAGGCAGTCCGGGGTATATGACAGGTCAGGGAGTTATAACATGGGTATGATTGAGAAAATGTGGAATATATAAGCATACATTGATGGATTTTTCCTGGAAAAAATAAAAAATAAATTCTAAACATAGCTAGATTGTTGCACAATAAAAAATGCAAAAACGTCTGATTTTCTTCATTACCACAGACTATAATTCAAATCTCCACATTCTAAACCATAAATGGCATAAAACTTCCATTCATTAACAAATCAAATTTAGTAAAAACCTGAAGAATGAAACTAATTGAGTTTATTATTAAGGTAAATATACTCATCTGTCCTTATATATAATAATCAAAGTCTTCCATCTGTCCCTGAAATTTTTTGAAATGTTCAATCTGTTTTTCCGACCATAGAATTTTTTTTTTTTTTTTTACCGAAATGCTCTTTACTAAAATGCAAAAACATTAAAAAAAAAAAAAAAAAAAAAAAAAAAAAAAAACTTGATTCGATTTTTTAAGCATTTAGATTTTTTTTTTTTTTTTTTCATTTCAATTAGAAGCATTTTAGTCAAAAAAAATATTTGGCTGTAAAAACTAATCAGAATGACAAAATGAACATTTCAAACACTTTCAGGAACAAATAAGATGCAATTAGAAATCTAGGGACATATGGAAGACTTTGCGTATTATATATAACAACAAATAGGTGTATTTATCCTTATTATTATAAACTAACACCCATATTACAATAAAAAGAAACACAAGTTTACCTGGTTCAAAACTTTCCAAGGATCAGCTCCCATACGATCGAGTTTATTAATAAAAGCAAGTCTAGGCACCTCATATCTCCTCATTTGCCTATCCACAGTAATAGACTGACTTTGCACTCCACCCACACTACACAAAACCAGAATTGCACCATCCAACACTCTCAGTGCCCTCTCCACCTCTATTGTAAAATCCACATGTCCTGGCGTATCAATTATATTCACCTACATGACCACAGAAGAAACCAACACTATTTTAAAATAAGCACAACAAGCTCAAATTCACCAAATATATAAGATGAATGCTTCAGAATATGTTAACTAATAATTGCATACAGTACCAACTTAAGAACAGCCCAAAATGCAATAAACACAAAATTTTCATCAAATTCATACTCAAAACATTCTGAACACATGTATAAAAAGTTTCAAATGTTTCAAATAAAGACAATTTTCCTTCTCCGTTAATACAAGATGCTGGTTACAATACAAAATACGCATCAACTACTCCACAACTTGCCTAGACAACTTGTTCCCACCACACCATCGAATTAACACCCAAGCAGATTTACAGTTTTTTGTTCTATTAAACCTTAGGAAAAATCTAACTCAGTTTAACTTTAATAAAGAGAAAGATCAACTTCACTTTCTGATAAGGAGATTTAATGCAACTCATGGAACCCAACCAGCAAACTTACAAATTCCCAGCATGCCAACGAATCAAACCCCAATAAAACATAAGCTACCCAATCAAACCGAAAAAATCTGCCTCCTTTTCAATCCCAAATAAACAAAACACTCAAAGAATCCGGAATTGATGACTGACAAAATCCCCAAAGAAAATAAAATGAAAAGGACAAAATCAACGCTCGTTGTTTTCAAACTAACGCAAACACAACAAGCAAAAATTCACATATAATGCATCAATTTTAGTCTCGACACCTTTCAAAATTGAGCAGAGAAGATTCAAAACGTTTCAAAATTTGAAATACCTCATATCCATTCCAAGTGCAGTAAGTAGCAGCCGACTGGATAGTAATCCCTTTCTCTCTCTCCAAATCCATGGAATCCATCTTGGCCCCAACGCCATCACGGCCGCGAACCTCATGAATCTCGTGAATTCGACCAGTGTAAAACAGTATGCGTTCAGTGAGTGTGGTTTTACCGGAATCGATATGAGCTGAGATACCGATGTTTCTTAATCGGTCCATCGAGTCCTTCCACCATGGCTCCTTTTCTTCCTTTGTGGTGGCGCGTGCGAGGTTGGAGAAGTGGCGGTGGTGCTGGATTTGGAAGTTTCCCCGGAGGAGAGCGGTGGTTGGGGATGTTGACGCTGTCATTTTGGAGCGGAAGAAGGTGTAAGAGAGGAGGCGCGATCCATTTTGAAACCGGGACATGGCGGTCGATGGATTCCCCGATTTGGTAAAACCCTAAACCCGAGGGGGAGAGTGGAGGTTTAGAGTGTGGGGTTAAAAGTGGAGAAAAATGCAGTGGCAGAAAAAGAGAAAAGTTAGCAGGTCGGGTCGGGTCGGGTCGGGTAAATGGGTCGTTATCTCTTTTAGTCTTGGTATTACTCTTAATTTTACTTTGTGTCTGAGATTGAGTTAACTGATAGAGTAATTTTACGCATAATTATGACTGACTTCTATTAAAAAAAGATATTTAAGTTTTATGATAAATAGTTAATTCAATATTTTTTTTATTTTTCAGATAATTAATGTGAAAATAAACATATTTATTCATATTCGATTCATCTTTTTAGTATTGCTTAATAATTTAAATTTTAAAAATTTAAATCATCTATTTGATTTTTTGAGATTCTTATACTCAAATTAAATTTAAGAGTTTAAATTGAATTTTAAAATAAAAATATTTAAATTTTATGATGACCGATTCATCCAATATTTTTTATATTGTATATATATATTCATTGAGATTTTTATTGGATTATTTAATCTTTTTAAAATTATGATGCTATATTAAATTTAATAATTAAAAATAAATTTTATTAAAAAAAAAGTTTTATGAATTATGATGGATGGTTCGTCTTATATTTTTTATACTATTTTATTATATATATTCAATGTTCAATAACACTTGTCTCATTGATGCAGCCCACTAAAAGCGGAGTGGTTGCCTCCTAGCAGGATATATATATATATATATTCATTGAGTTTAGGGCAAAGTTTTGCCATTAAACCTATCTTTTTCATCCAGATCCAGAAACTCTTGGGTTTTTGTAATCATTTTTAAAGCATTAAAACAGCCACTGCATGATCTGATGCAAGCAGACATTGATGGAGCGGATCATTATGACAACGGTGTTCCTAAAGTAGTAATTTTGTGGCAATTCTTGTTTTAGATTATGGATCGCAGGTTGGTTGGTACTCGAAGTTCTTGTTTCGAAAAGGTGTGGTGGTGTTTCGAAAAGAGTTCAAAGTTTTGTGGTATCTAGTCGGTCTTTTCGTTTGGATTTGGGTTAAGCTTGTTCTGGCATTTTCTTGCCTCCGAACTTAGTCCTACTAGTTATTGTTTGAAGACCTTGAGCCCCGTCCTTGTATCGAAAGTAGCCTGCAATACGCAAGGACACTACATTGGCAATGAAGGAAGAATACAACATTTGGCTGGGAATGACATGTAATAAAATTATTAATCATTCACACATAAAACTGAGATTTAACTACTCTTAACAAATACAACTCCAATATTCAAACTCTAGAGACAACCTCGCTTGTTACTGGATCAAAGACTTGCCGGCAATGATCCATTTGAATCATGAGTTTACTATCCAACCGACAGGATAAATCATTGTTTCTTTCAGAATCCATTCGATACAGAAAAACATGATACATCATTTTAAGCGGCTGTAATTCATAAGAGTTCAATCCCAAATATACAAACGAATCCCTCTAGTCCATGTTGAATCGTTCTAAAATGACTGCTAGGAAGTAGGCAAAATCCTCCTAAGCCATTTTGAAAGCCTTGTTCGACAACTTCTTGTGGTACGAAGATTCTCTCCCTCAGTCAACTCAGAGACAAAGCATTAAATCATAATCTAACTTCGAAACGAACAATTATAAACGCTTGCATTTCATTTTATTTGATCATTCCCTATTTGGAGTCTTTTCTACAAAATCCAACCATGATTCAGGAATTCAACCCCAAATAAGAAAACATGCCAAGAAAAGAAGACCACGTACTAGATAGGACTATCTCCTAAAAACCGCAAAACGACAAAATACTATGATGTTGACCTTTGACACTCAAAACCCACTGTTTTCTTTACCAAAATCACTCAATCTTGATCACCAAAGCATCATCAATCTCCTCGGGTTTAATTTTAGGCACAAAAACCCTTAGGACACCAGACTCCATCACAGCTCTAATGTCCCCGGCCTTGTACTCGTCCTTTGGAAGGTCAATTTCAAAAGAATACTTCCTGGGTACCTCTTCTTTAGAGCAAATACTCACTTTCTTGACTTCTTGACCCCTGACATAAATAGAATCCTCTTTAATCCACATCTTTAGCCCTTCTTTGCTAACTCCAGGTAAGTCCACTCTTGCATATATAGCATCAAACTTGTCTTTCAGATTATACAGAAACTCTGGCCCTTCTTTAACAAAGGGGTGGGGATAGCCAAAGATCTCATCATCAGCAGCAGCATCATCTTCATCTGCAGAATAATAAAGAGGACGAATTTTATATATGTTACACAAAGAATCAGTCAACAAGAAAATGTAAAAAAGAAAGCACCATATTAGTTACCTGTAGATGAGAACTCAGTGGTGGAATCAGTATCAGATTCGGTGGTAGAGGAGTGGACGGTGGTGGAGAAGGAGCGGGTGGCGGTGGAGGTGGAGAGAAGGATCTTGAAAAGTTGGGATTTTGAGGATATAACTCTGGTTAAAGATAACATCGCTGAAGAAGCCATTGATGGAAGATGAAAGGAAGGTTTGTAAGAGCTAGGGTTTCTGTTGGGATATGAGGCTTTCAGGGGGTTAATCAGCAAGCGGTAATGGTTGAGGCTAGAGAGAAGTGAAGAAAAGGTGGGAGGAAGGTATATAAGTTATGGGTGTGGTTCCATGGACAGTTAATAAAGTGTAAGCACAGCTTTCATTAGCTCTCCACCATTTAATGGAGTGTCCTATTATTTGATTACCTGATTGATGAATGACATGTCCCTTGCTTCAAAGAGACTGTTGGTCCTGGTAAAATCTAGAAAACAATCCACGATCATATCATATAAACCAATCTGAATCATCTAAATTTTGAAAGTTTGAAATGGGTAGCCTTGATCCTGTTCAAGAGTTTTTTTCCAAAAAATAAAAGAGAAGGAAAATATGAAATTTGAATCGATTAGTCAGCAGAACTCTTGCTCCGAGCTTGTTATCTGAGTTGCAGAATTTGTCAAAGACAGGCAAGAACAAAAGTAAGTCAAGAAAGGAAATAAATACGGAGGTCATTTTAAATCTTGTCTTGTAGAAATTGTTAGATTTTGGACTTTCAATTAGGCCAATCATGATGAACTTGTCCTGCCCGTTTACAAAATAACAAAATATTTCTAATGAAATAATATATAATATAATTACTGAATCCACCTTCCTGATAAAAGATCTAAGATTCAAGCATCTAGTCTATTTTATGACAAGAAAAATAGTAAATTTAATAAATTATAATTATAAAAATTATTTGGTAGTTAATAATTTTAAAGTATAACTATTTTTTTTTTCATGATTTGTTATCACTACTGCATAAATTGTTTGTTCTATTACTTAATTAATTAAGGGTAAACATTAAAAATAATATCCAACTATATAGGTAGTCTTAATGTTACCACAAAATAATTTTAAATATTAATTTTGTCTTTAAAATTTTGGAAAATCTCAATTAAGTACTTCTATCTATTTTTAATGCTTCCCATCTATATTTTTGTCTAAATTATACTTCTTCTTCTTTTTGATAAGAAACATCATCATTTTATAGCAAATTTATTTTATTTTATTTTTTTCAAAAAGATTATAACAAAAGACTTCAATTGAGAAATCAAAATAGTTTGATTATAAAATTGATATAAAAATTAGGTTGGATGCAAAAATTATAATATCCCAATAGTTTGGTGGCATATTTAATGTTTGTAACACTTTGGTCCTCAATTTGTATATTTTTGTAACACTTTGGTCCTCAATTTTTCTATATTTTTTTTCAATTTCAAATTTTAATTATATTGTGATTTGGTTCCATTTTGTTTTAGTGTTTTTTGTTAATTATTTTTATTATTTAAAATTTACTACTTTAATTTATCATTTTTTAAAAAATTCTCTTTCTTTTTTTCAATTTCAAACTTTAATTATATTGTGGTTTGGTCCTATTTTGTTTTAGTGTTTTTTTGTTCATTATTTTTATTATTTAAAATTTACTACTTTAATTGGTCATGTTTTTAAAAATTTTCTTTCTTTTTTCAATTTCAAACTTTAATTATATTGTGATTTGGTCCTATTTTATTTTAGTGTTTTTTGTTAATTATTTTTATTATTTAAAATTTACTATCTTAATTTGTCATTTTTTAAAAATCCTCATCCATTTAATTTAAAATTATATTTACTGAGAGTTTTGATTTATTTTTTTAAACGTATGGATTTTAGAATAAATTTTTAGAACATGATTATTTTTTCTTTTGAAAAATAGATTTAGATAATTTTTAAATTATAGTAGCATGATTAATATATATAATTTGTCCGAAATACATTTTTATATTAAAAGCATGTTTCAAAGAATTTTTTCTTGATTTTTTATATTATTTTAAATTTTCTATATTAATTTTTCATTTTTTTAAATTCTCTTTTTTTTTTTCAATTTCAAACTTTGATTATATTGTGATTTGGTCCCATTTAGTTTTAGTATTTTTTGTTAATTATTTTTATTATTTAAAATTTACTACTTTCATTTTTATTTTTTAAAATTTTCATCTAATTAATTTAAAATTATATTTAGTGACAGTTTTGATTTATGTTTCTATATGTATGGATTTTGAAATAAATTTTTAGAACATGATTATTATTTTTTTAAAAAAATATAGATTTAGATAACTTTTAAATTATAATGACATGATTAATATATATAATTTTTTTGAAATAAATTTTTAGATTAAAAGTATTTTTCTCAATTTTTTTATGTTATTTAAAAATTACAACATTAATTTGTCATTTTTTTTAATTCTCTTTTTGTTTTTTTCAATTTCAAACTTTGATTATATTGTGATTTGGTCATATTTTGTTTTATTATTTTTTTATTATTTTTATTATTTAAAATTTACTACTTTAAGTTTTTTTTAATTTTCATCCAATTAATTTAAAATTATATTTACCGACAATTGATTTTTTATATGTATGGATTTTGAAATAAATTTTTAGAATATGATTATTTTTTAGAACATGATTATTTTTCTATATGTATAAATAACTTTTAAATTATAGTGGCATGATTAATGTATATAATTTGTCTAAGATAGATTTTTAGATTAAAAATGTGTTTCAAATAATTTTTTCTCAATTTTTTTAAGAAAAAAATCAAATTAATTAATTAATATTTGAAAGTCAAATTAATATAGTTTTTTATTTTAATATTATTCATTCTTTCATAAATAAATATATAAAAATTAAATTCATAGTTTTTCAAAAACGGATGTTCTCATCAATATTAAATAAATAAATAAATAATTTGTTCAATTCTATGTAAGCTTTTAATAATTTTTATTTATTTTTTTGACACAATCTTATGAAATACAAAAGTTTTTTTTTAAAAAAAATTATTTAATTTTCTTTTTAGTTAATAGTCCATGGATTAACAAGGGTAAATCTTTTTTCTAAAAGAAAAATTATGAAAAACACAAATAAGAAATAGTTAAATATAAAATTTTTTATTAAACTAAAATGATTTCATATATATATTTTATAAATTCACATAATAAAACAGATTATCAAGCTAAAATAATTTCTCTAAACGATTGTTTATATTTTATCCAACTCCGTGACGTAGCGTGGGTAAAAAAACTATTATCTTACTAAAGCTATTTTATATTTTTAATGACATGATTTGTTATTCAACTATAAACACCATATTTAAGTGTGTGATGTAATCTTTTATTTTTATTATGCAGTATTTTATTCTATTGTAAATATTCATATGATCCATTCATTTTATCATGTGTTTTATTTTTTAATAAAACAGAATCAATACAAAAAGTTGATTGTATTTTGTTACACTTTAAATTCTTACATAATTTAAGATAAATATTATATAATTATTTTGTATGTACTTTTCTATCTCTATTAAACTTATGTGATGATGTTTAGTCATTTGTTTGCTTATGGAGAGACTAGAAAGTAGTTATTAAATCCGAACAAGATTGTTTGGATCGAAAATCCGACTATCCATCCACCCGAGTCATATTTATGATCAAAATGTGGCATACATAACCCGAGTTAAACTCAATCAAATTATCAGTTTTCTAATTTTTACAACGAAAACTTGACATGTCACCCATCACTTTGTTACCAATGTATCTACCAATGCGTACAATCCACATTTTATCATCATTGCTACCATCACACCTTATTACCAATGTAAACATCATTGTAACCACCACTACTATATAACAAGTAGTACCACCATTATAACTAATGTCATTGATATGACCAACACAATCACCACCACCTCTACCCCATCACTAGCTTTTCTATCACTATCACTAATATTATCGTTCTTCTCATCTAATTAACACTACACAACAACCGTCATTAAAAAATAACTATTTCATTTTATTAAGAAAATATTTTTATTAACTTATCAAAAAATGAAAAATATCTCTTTTTTTAAGAAGACATTTTACAATAAAAAAATTATTTTCTAAGAAGATTTTTTTTTCAAACCAAACACACCTCTTGATAGTATTAAAAAAACAAGTCTATAAGATTTTTTTTTTAATTAATTTCAACTAGTGTTGTTATATTGATATTTTTTTCTTACCTTATGTTTTATTATTTATTTTTAACTAGCATGTTATCTTTTGTTTTTTTATTATTGTATTTACAATTTTATTAAAAATATATTTTTTATATTTGTCACACTGTAACCTCTCAATAATCACAAAAATAAATATGTATATGTTTGAAATGTCCGAAGTCGCCAATTAGTTTTCAAATAGGTGAAAACTAAGAAAAAACTAATACTGATCTTAAAAGTTTTAAGTAAGAGAATTGATTATATAAATAAAAGAGACTATGGTCATCCTAGTTGCTATAACTCATTTTGACCCTCCATAAATTTCATTTTATACAAAATTCTAAAATTTTAAAAAATTGCATATCGTATGGTTTTCTTTCTTTTTTTTCATGTTTTTTTAGGTATATGTACATAAATTGTTGGAATTTAAACATTGGGTCTATCCTCTAAATTTTAAGATGAAGACAAAAAGAAGGAAAAAAAGAGAAATTAATTAATTAGGACACAATTAATCAATCTAAAAGAGAGAGGATAGAAATTGAGGTTAATTAGAATACAACTGAATGGAATTAGAAAGAATGAGGATTGAAATTAAAAGAGAGAGAGAGAGAGAGATTAAACCGTGTAGGGGTATAATTGCAAAGAATTAAAAAAAACAATGACTAAATTGGGAAAAACACTAAAAGTTAGAGACCAACTTAAATTTTTACTAAAACGATGTTGTTTTGATGAGTGGCAAGTCGGAGATCATCATCTTCCCCTCTCATTTCCCATGCATATTTATTTCTTTTGCCTTCTTTTTTTGGCATTTTCGTTCCTTTGTTTTTCTTTCTTCTTTCCATTATTTTCTTGGCTTTTTTTCACACTTAAAACCACCTCTATCTAAAGCCAACTCATTTTTGTCCTTTTTCTTCTTTTAAGCCCCCCAAA